TATCCACGGTGTGGCTGCGCTTGATGTGCATGTTGACAAGGTGTCTACCTGGCTATAACCAACTACCTCGCCCATACTGGCTCCAGAAGACAGCTGGTCGCTGCCGGAGGGGACGGGGTGCACAGTCCTTGTGGTCGTGCTAGGCTCGAAGAGTGGTTCCATGCACTCAGTGTGGAGCGGACTACGGTCCAGCCACCGCCTTGTGTGCGCTTGATTTCCCAAATACAATGTGCTTGTGTTTGCCTGTGAAGGAGTGTGGGCCGACTCCGTTGATGAAACGTGGTTCCCATCCACATGCCTCCCGGTCTTATTCCTTCGGGTTTACACTGGGTATGGGGTGTGTGGTTGGAGCTGTGGGTGGTGCAGCGAAAGCCACCCGTGGTCCCTATGTAGGCGCAGGCGTCCTGTGGCTTGCCACAGTGACAGGCAAATCCGAACCCGGATGCGGCCAACCAAATATTACAAAATTTCTACTACCTTATCTCCTGGCACAACTCCATAATATCAGCCACACGAGCGTGTTCCAGCATCTTGCCTCGTAATATCACTGTAGCCGTTTACATGAAGCGTGAAACCGAAGACATGGAAAATGCGTTCCGATAATCCTGCTGATCCTATACCCACCTGTCTGCACATTTTCGTCGCATTCCGGATTAGCTGAAGCGAAGAGAAATGGAAGTGACTTCTTACGCTCACATGACTAGTACCGCAGTTGTCGCGTACTCCTTCAGTTCATGGACGCCGTGACTGCGACGGAAATTTTAAAAGTTTTGATGTATTGCAAAAAGTACTACCGTCCAAGCACTGCGCGTCGTGATTAACCAAACGCCCGTTCAAAGGGAAGCCCAGTGGAGCCGAACCTAGTTGTCCCTAACGGAATACAAATAGCAGCGTATGAATTGGACACAGGTAATCCAGGCCGGTGATCCACACGAGTCTGGAAGTCACAAGCAGTTTCCCAAATGGGACTATTTAAATGGCTATGAATGCAGATGGAAGCACTCTATTACATCCAGTGAGTTGGCTGCTAGCCTCAGGGCTTCCTCAATCGCATCACTCGGCAACAAAACACATTACTTTGCTACAAGAACTGCCGTATTGCTAAATGCCACATCATCGCCGAAGGCAGCACGGCAGGACCAATAAATAGTGGCGGTGCACGAAGTTCACTTGGGTAAATCAGGTAAATACGGAAACTAGCCAAACGCTGTTCTCTAATTTACCGACGTTCTTGCAGTTTGTTGTGAATAATTTGCAGCGGGATCCGCGCTCGATAACCCTGACATGGACAACTAATACAGGCAGCCAAGCAAGCAGCTGTTTATACTCAGTGACATACATTGCTGCCGACATACAAGCTACACCGATACATGTCATCAGAAAGGAGCGAGATCCTGAAGTCTTGTTAGACGATGACATTGACCCCACATCGTATGCTTACAATGCATTTACAGTGCTTGCAACAGCACAATATGCAGACAGCGCCTATGGTGAAGTGCAAGTGTCTGTCATGTCCAGGGTGGAGTTAAACAGTAACTTGGCGCCAGACGTCATTCTCAGCAACTTACTAATTATGTTATCGATTGACAGAGGTGATAGCTGAATTTGCTGCCAATTTGATCTCCTTTGAATGGCATCGTTATGAACACTTTCTTCTTAGGAACGTCGGGTACTCGTTCGTTCTCGGTTTTCGCGTTCCCATTTGCGTGTTTGGCTAGGGACTTATCCGCACCTCCATTTTTACGTACTGTAGAAGAGACGTGTTCCAACTCACATTCAATTGCTTCTTCTGAGCATAGCTGGCTACCTATCGCAAAGAAGGTACGAACCGGAGCTCGTTTCTAATGCACAGGACACTAAATGTCAAACATGGGGTAGTGTACCATTTAGGTCCCTTTTAAGTGAACATCTAAAATTGGAAGGCGTCGTAGGATTCGTTCTGAACTGCAAATTCGGTTGCCGGGTAACAGTTGCTTAGCGCCAACAGTAGTTGTTCTGCTTGCTCGGCAGTGTGTACAACGACGAAAATGTCATTCATGTAGCGGCTATATGAATGCACGTGGTGTATATTACAACCTGATGATCTCTGTATGCAATCTATCCAATCCGCTAAGTATACGTAAACGGCTGACAAAAATACGCGAAATAGCTGCTTTCAGATTACCCTGTCAAAATGTTGCTCTTCCTTGCACTTTCGACACTGGCAGTCATTCAATGTGTAGTTCAGCCTACGTTGCTCGAAATACTAATAGACTTAGTCGAGACTAGCAAGCAATCTCTCCGCTTGCAATGGACCGACGAGATAGGCAACAGGAGAGGTATTCATTGAATGCCAAACAGGATACATTTTGTAGTGCCGAAGGTGCGCAAAGTGAAACAGGCGTGACCTCGGAACGATTTGACAGAGAACAAATGCATGGTAAGCAGCGCTACAGAATATCCAGAAACAGAACCTCAGATAACCGGAGGTTCATTAAGGTAGTATTAAAAGGGGAAAATCAATACTTGATGATATCTAAACCAAGTAAGGATAACAGAATTAATCTATCCGTGAATCTTGTACCATGCATCTTGTTTTGTGAAGTAATGCTTTATTGTCTCGAAATTATAAATTCTTTACACATGGTTGTGGTTGAAGTTAGGATGGTGCAAGCACGCCTGACGTTGTATGCGCAGTCTTCGAAATTGTAGCAGAATCACCGTCCTGGATCTGTTTCTGCCAGTTTCGTGGAAGAGTGATATAATTGTGCACGGTTAAGAACTACTTCGGTCAGCCTCCGCCTAGTGCACTATGATTCCTATCTTGGCCCGGATCGTATAGTAGAGTAACTGTGGGCGACACCAGTTGTGGACGAAATCTGTTTCACTGCACTCAGTGGACAACATAAGTAGGCAGCCACGAACGAGAATGACAAACGGGACGGTCCAAAGCTTGAAGGTTGCAACCGTCTAAACTAGGCTTGACTGTCTTCCCCAAGTTGGCCAGCATGGTACACAGCGTGTCCACTAATGCACGTGACGTCGCGTATGCGGGATGTTGCTATGCCGGAGGCTTGAGAACCAGACACACAGTGTCATCGCGTAGCCGCAGCGCGTACGTGAAAAGGTTGTCTGGAATCCAGGACCAATGCTTACTGGGTCTGAGCTGCGGAACATGACTGGATCGTTAACGGAGTACCCATGCGACATGGGACTGTCTGAGTGCTGGCTGGGATTGTCTGAGTGCTACTGAATGCGTGTTCGTCCCGAATACGTGCAACTGACGCAGGAGACTTTGCCGTGCAACTAATGTGGGTGTGAATTTAGTGCGTATCTGATCTCTAGTTTCTGTACTATGGTTGCATCTCAATTCCCCAATAATTGCTTTCGCCTACAGTTCTTTGTCTTCTACCACTTACGGATACTCGTTAGCTACGAGCTGTTAGTGCGATACACTAAGGATACTGCACAAATTTAATATCAGGGATAGACAGTCGGTGGATGATCAGAAGGTTATGCCCTTAAACATCATGTCAACTAACGTGGTGAGTAAGACCCATTGTTGCCTTACCTCCCAACTGGCCATATCGCATAAATGACTAGGAAATATTCGCACCACCGTTGAGATGGCCATAATTGGATACAACGTGACATACATGCTGCACGGAAATAGCAGCGGATACTTTCTATGAGGATATAAATGCATGTCTATGCAGCATTTGCCGTGTAATTCGATAAACAAGCCGCATGCATGAAAAGGAACAGCATTACACCCGCTAGCAAATGATAGAAAATCAACAGGTTCGTCATTGCCCCTTAGAGTACTCATGATTCGACTGCGCTGTATCAACTTCACAAGCAAGATGGCGGACTGCTTACATGCTCAGTGGAAAATCGCGTTTCTGATGAACACCAAACTCTCTCCGCTGCGCACAAACCGTCGTAGCTCTCGTAGTAACCTAAATAGATGAATAAGTCAATGTATACACAATTATCGCAGCGCTGCGGAATGTCGGCATTGCATCTATTGGTCTGTCATACTTCCTTCACAATTGAAAATTCCGTGAATGCCTGTTATAAGTTTAAAGGGTACTTACGTTCATCTACAATGGATGCCCGCACGCAACATCCTGCTCTTTGATATCGCGGTTGCCCACTGACCTTCCATGGGCGCATGGACCACTTAAGTACACACCATCTATCACGGTTTCCCCCACTTTGCGCCGCAACCATGCACCGATAGTCGGATGCGGCGGACGACTGACAACCCCCTGTCTCCTGTCACGGTATCATGCGAGTGGTGTCCGCTGATCGCCTTATATCGCCTCTGGGTCGCTGTACAAATAATCCCTTAGTAATGCTGCCTGCGAGCCTTCCACCGACTTAACAAGCACCATATACAGTACAGTTTACACCTCCGCTCTGTAACTGTCAACAGAATAAATCATCTGCTCGTCCAACACAGACAGTGGCGACAACAGAAAGAAATATCTGCGACTAGTTAAGGATCCATAATGCTCTGTATCCGCCATGCAGAACATTTCATGCACCAGGAAACCTATCCTTCGAGCAGAAGTGCCAGCCATTTTACAGAAAAATGTTTTAATCAAAGGACCGTATCCTATAAATCAAGCAAATGAATTACGCGTCCGTAATTCCCGGATCCGTGTCGCACCATCTGCTCGCGGTGATGCGACGTAACGCAATCGCGCGCTTCAGCTACCACGTTTTCCAGAAACCTTGTAGGCCACACGCCGTTGCTCAGAACGCATTCCGGATCCCCGTCCAGCAGTTCGCCATACCTGGTCCTCATTGCGTCCTTCACGTAAGCCTTGATAACACTCCATACGCCTTCAATCGGGTTCAGCGTCGAAGAGTATGGCGCAAGCCGTAGAAGTCTTCCTGTTCGATACCTTTCCTCCTAGAAGACGCTCTCCAGGTCCGTATGGCACGGCGTGTTGTCACAAATCAAAATGCACTGATCGATGAAATGCGATGCCTGGGCATTCAGAATTTCGCAAACCCACTGCGCGCATCGTCATCTGTAGTAGCTGTCAGGCAAAGCCTATCAATGCTTCCCTGGTCATCGCGCCAACCACGTGCACATGCTGGCCGCGACTGTTCACCACGGTGCACGACTCCCACGCCTTGAACGACCCTTAGTACGAGCGAAAAAGTGGTTGAAATTCGTCTCATCTATTCAAACAGGTCCTCTATCTTCCGCCTGTAATTGTAGCAGTGTCAAGACGTACAACTTGCGTCGCTTTTTGTTCGCCAATGTGTTCACTGATTCCGAGATTGTATGCAACAACTTCAGGGTCATAAGGCGCCCGTCCAGAAATCTGGACACCGTGGTAACGCTCACTTCTACGTCCTATTCTGTTTCCAGCCTCAGACGAAGAGTGGATAGGGTAACGGTGAGCTCTTCCTATATCTATTCTGTCAGAGACCGGGGACGAGCCCCGTGTTGCCCCTCAGCTCCGCTGATTCCAACATGCGTATCCAACTGCGACACGTGTTCGCGTTCAACTGCAGCAAGGAAGCAACGGTTTTCCAATCCTCCCCTTCCTCATACGCCTTCAGTATTCTTTTCTGCACGCACTCACCTCGTCGCCGCATTCTGTGTGCATGAAGTGAACGTCCAAAGACCAACTGTTTAACTCTGTAGTCTCCGTCCCTTTTATTGCCATCAAATGGATCAAGTATGAGGCCCCAGGATACGTTGTTGTCATGGAGGTTGGACCGCTGACTATCATGGTGCATTCTAGCAGGCCCCAGCCTAAGGACGTCACACGATTTTGTGAAGGCTGTGTGGATAACACGGCTTGCTACTCAACATACGATAACACGGCTGAGTCATGCCGAAAGCTGATGACATCAAATCGACATCATCGCATGGCTGCTATCACGCGGACGTCATCCTACCTACAGACAGACAGTCAAGACCCATACCAAGGTCAAACCTGTCCAGACAAGAGATGCGATTCACCTGTGACAGACCCTCGAAGTAACAGCATGAGACCTATAAACGTAACCGTGTTCTGTTCCTAATATACTTCGGTCTAACAGGCTCGTTGTGCTGATTTGCCCCCGGATGGGTTCGCGTGGAAGAGAGCGGAGGGAAAGCAACGTTACAACAGTTGGTTAATGACCTGATCTGTCAAGGAGCACAAAGTGTCATCACTGCGTTATCACATTGTTCCTCCGCCTGGTGTCGCCAGCACCAAATGATACGAGGGATGGCATAAGAAATGCATATACTTGTTAATGGGACGCATGCCGTCGCATACACGGTAAAAAAGATTAGGCGGTATGAGACGGTTGGATGCCATAGTAAATAGCCGTCAACAACCCAGGCACACCGATGCTACGGAGACTGAAATTAGCCTTCCAAGTTACCCCATGCTTGCTTTATTTAATCTAGGTAGCCTAGGTGTGTTAGCGAAAATTCGCGCCAGACTGTATGATTGGCATTGTTATCCGATGACATTCATCTCCCTCATGCGCCGTAGTCGTTATTACCAGGTCACTAAAGACTGTCCCCTTATCAAGAGTATGGATTATATATGGCGTTCACTTATCACTTGGCGATTGCGTCCACACACGGTCGCACCAGGGGTCACTCACTGCGGAGCAGTGTACCACGATGTACGGCCGCAAACAGTCGCGGCGAGAAGGTGCACCTTGTGGGCGCCATGATCAACGACGCATTGATAGGTTTTGCTGCTTAACGTTTAACGGTAAAATAGTTGATACTATTGTTCGAAGGATAGGAGGGGTCCTGGTGTATGAAATGCTCTGCATGGCGGATACAGAGCATTATGCGTCCATAAATCGTCGCAGATATTTGTTTCTGTTGTCGCCACTGTCGGTGTTAAACGAGCAAATGATCGATTCTGTTGATAGATGCAGAGCGGAAAAATATACATCAACCCTCTGCATTCACAAGGTATACCGGCGATCGCGGACGGCACACTACCCCTATCCCCACGGTTATTAGCAATGGACTCGTTCCCAATGCTCCCGCACATATTTACCGCTCAAATAATCCGCGATTACAATGACCCACACAAAAGTGACGTGAACGCTGATTCCACAAATTATGGTATGTTTACATAACATTTGACTGACGCTAGAGGTATTACCAACAAACGGTATTTCCTAAGCATGTTTGCACATTTAAACAAGCTACAAGCAATCCTCTCTACCGAAACGTGGTACGCCGCTGATATATTAGGCTGTAATCCAATAACCTCCCCTTTAACACCTTTTCGTAAAGATCGCTGTGAAACAAAAGGTGGAGGATGCTTCATGTAACTCAATCACACATGTACAGCTGAACGGTTTGAATATCCACCCCAGGCAAATGTCCCTGATTCTCTCTGGTTCGTCGTCTCAGAAGCCTCGGCCTACTTGCATCTATCCGGAACCCGCCAAATTCATCAACCAGGAATGGCGCCCGTAGCACCACAGCTTTCGATTTCGCATCGCAATTGACGCATAAACAAAGGATAATTGTAGGTGATTTCAACATCCCGAAGATCTTCTTGTCTATACACAGAGCCTTCATGTATTCAGAGTTGGTTGGACACAGTGGGTTACTATACCGACTAGGTTGACGAACACATTAGACGTGATGTTTACATGGGTTATGGCCAACGTACAGAGACACGTTTCAGAGAACATCCCTGGTAGTGACGGCAATATGATACTCTTAACCTTCGTCGTTAAAATGCCCACCAAACAAGTACCTGCTTCTTAGTACACCAGCCGCAGTATTAACTGGAAACCTTTCCGTCAGATAATCCGGTCCTGCGATTGAGATGCCTCTTTTCTCTCCAACAATGCCTGCACAGCCGTGGAGCACTTCTATCATTAGTTTCAGCAAGCCATAACCCTCGTTGCTACACAAGAAAAACGAATCAGTGACGTTTAAAAAGATGCAGCTGAACGTTCGATGAGTCAGAAATCCAGTAAACCGATCGAGCGCTAAAATAGGATAGGATATTTCACAATGCTTCCACAGATGCACTGACTCATCTCTGAAATCAAGCACTACAATTAATGGGGAGAATACATAAAGATCAAGCAGTCCTATGGATGACATGTAAAGCAAAAGATCTGGTCAGATTTTCCCGTCGAAGAACCGACAAACGCTTTTCATTGATTACTGAATTGATAGACGACATCCAAGCGCATTTAGCTCCTTCTTCTCCACCTACATGACCCTTGACACTAACGCTATAATTACACTAAGACTCCATCTAAAGTGCTATTGCTCACCGCAATATCCGCCAAGCAACACATTCTATTCAACCGTGCTCAATTCTGGAAGCTGATGGCACCCACCTATTCGCCATGAAACTGAGAGGGCCTGTCACTGTTGTCTGTCGTTTCACTGAGATCCAAATGCGTTGCAGAGCAACGGAAAACTTCATTCGTCAGCCCTCGCCACAAGAGCTGCGCAAAACAGGAGATTGACAATAACAGGCCAAGCAAAAACACTCCTATAATAGCCGGGTTATTCGTGAAATTGGTAAAAAAAAGTGTGAGAGTTCATCAACTCACTGAAGCTGGTAGACAGGTCCTAAAATGGTCTCCTTGGCTAACAATCGCACACCTCGTGGTAGCTGCATTACCTGAACTACATACTGGATTCCATTGACTCAAAATATGCCATATTCATTCTATGCTTGCATATGCAGAAAACATTCGATCGGGTGCCTCACAAACGGTTACCGATTCAGATAGATTTCTTTGGATCCCGCAACAAATTAATGGGTTGGCTATCACCATCCATGTACGGTCCCGTTAAATAGTCACCTTAGGTGTCTATTGCTCTTCACCGCGTCCAATTACCAGCGGGGTTAAACAAGGAGATGTGTTCGGTACAATAATTTCTCTTCTTTGTGTCTATGCTAGCAGTTTGGTTAACAAACATGGAGTGCCGTATTTATTTGTTGATGACATAACATTTGTCAACAGGTACCGACGATTTGTGCCTCCAATGTACTACCACTCCTACAAGAATACATTCATTCGCTTGAGACTTGGTGCGACAAATAGATGATGATGTTTTGAGCATAACAGTCAAGTATCATATGTCGCGGTCGCTTGACACCCGAAGAATCTATCACACATAACAGCGAACGCATCTGTGTTCAACGGTCTACCCGTGACCTTGGAATCAGATATTCTTTTACCTTTATGTTCTTAAAGCAGATTGAGTACCAGATATCATGAGCCAGACAATCCTTCGCTAACATTTCTCATAACATGCATACAATTACAGCTACAGTTGAACTATTTAAAAATCTTTATCGTCCCATCTTGGAGTATCGCAGCACAATCGGAAGCAATATGAGGAAATCAGTCAGAACATCGATAGAAAGCCTTCAGCGGTCATTTACTAAGCACGTATTGGGAAAAAATTCTATCATAAACTCGGGAGCGATGCCAGAAGCTCTATCTCCATCCGCTTTAGCTGCGAAGACTACAAGAAAACTTGATACTGCTGCACAATCTCATTCATGGCAATACTCATTGCAATCGATTCACCTTAACATTGAAGCACAATTACACGCGAGACCTAGGTAACAAAGACCTTACCCTGATTATACCAGAATGCAAGACAAATTTGTGGTCTAAATTTCGTCTCACCATACATGCTTCGCTGTGGATTTGGCTGGCATTCACCATCAGGTCGTGTGAGACTGCGCAATCCTTTAGCAGTAAGTGGGGACACCACTATGTCGTTTTTGTGGGGAAGATCATTTGAACATCCGGATAACGTCTAATGGGTATAGTACTATCACTTCACGCAATGTAATTAGTCCTCAGTGTATATCACATACTCAAACTATCAATTTGCCTCCTACCATTGCATAAGACAAATGTATGGGGCAAATACCTTGCCAGGAATGCAGGCAATTATAAGAAGAGGATGTTGTTCTCGCAAGAGCATAACATCACCTGTGCATGTACGTTCTGTGCCAAATATTGTCACAGCTTTTCACTTGATGAGAAATGTGCTTATTATTATTATTATCTTCATGCGGTATTTTGTTTCGACCAGAGGCAATACTAACGTGGAGCCTAAATGTGTTACTGGTACTGTGCACTTTGGACCGATCACATATTGTGCGCTCGATACCTTACGGACTGCTCGGACAAGCACTGGAAATTTGGCACAGACACCGGCTACCGGCCGGGTCAGAATACGAACCAAGGATCTGTTAAAGGGGTGCTGAGGGAGAACGTTCAAACCCATCATCCCAGATTGACCAGCTACAGTCAGGCGTACTGTTGGTGATCTCTAGCACTGACACTCTCATCCCTATCTGCTTTCCGTTAACAGTGTTACGGAGAGAAAGCTTACAGCCAGCGATCAAGCCGAAAGCCGTGGCGTAGAAGCGGATCGATCTACAACTAGAGATAGAACTCGAGTACAGATCAAAATGTGAATCGATGTGGAATCAGCTGCAAGTTGGGTTATGAACTTGAGCCATTTGAGTTGTATTAATTAACATCAATCATCATCTCCAATATTATCATGTTAGTAGTTGTCCATAAACTACTTGTTGCGCCATGCTCTCATACAATACGCCTCTCTGTCTACCTAGTTCTGGCCTTTTGTATTCCGTCGGTTGGTTGGGCGCGTGACTGAGAACTCAAACAGTCGCAGTCTTAAGGGGCAGTTATCAGCAGTATGACAGTCGTCTGGACAGGGAGCAGGGGTAAAGAAGAAGCGTTACAACAGTAAGAAGAGTTACAACAAACACCAATGTGTCAAGCTACTCGGAGCATACCTGTCGCCCATAGACGCATACATCTAGCCCTGTGCTTACATCCAGCGAGTCCCACTCGCTAACGTCCCATGGCCAATGAGAGTGCACTGATAGTGCGTGCATATAACCCCTCGGGGGGAAAATAAATTGATTCCCGTGTGACCTTGAATGAACAACACGTTATTTTGCTATTTTAACTAGCTAACTTATTAGCACTATGCGTAATGTTGCCTGTAAAAAGTATAGTTGCTTGGTGGTCCTAATAAATGGCAAAGG